ATATCACAAACCACCTAAAAATTAAGTTTATTATAATTTACCATTAAATTTTCTATTATAATCTAAAAAGAAATAGTAATATCAAATTTAATTTCCGTATAAACTGATATCTTTTTTTAGGTTCCTTAACTTATAACATACATTAAACAAACTTATAACTTAAAACAAACCTTTTTTTTTAAATATTTATAAGTTATATCCCATTTCATTGCATATAAAAGAAGAACTGTATTTTGATGATAAGCATATACACACACTGGTTGAGCACCTGACGCTTTAACACTTACACACCACTTAGGTCGCAGACTGCAAAATTTAGAAATTCCAAGTTTAATCCCTGGATTTATAACTTTAAATTGACTGTACAATTCTTTCAGGTTACACAATAGCAACCGTATTTGTACATGTATTCTGTTATTTTTTCCTTTGCCAACACTTACATCAGGGAATATCTTTTTCTGGATATTTCCGGAATTCCGGATATTTTTCTCAAAATTTAGTTTTTCCGGATATCCAAAATGTTTTTTCATACATTCAAGTTTATATAATATTTGTTTTAATGTATATACATTTTTCGTTTTCAGTGATCAGCCATAAAAAAATGTCTTAAATGTCTATAAAAGTTCTGAAACCTACCAGCTGAGAGCATAATTAGGAGAATAGTAAGGGAAAATATGTTCCGGATTTTTCCGGATATTTTACATAAACTATATTTTCCGGATTTTAAAAAATGACCTGGATGATCACTGTTACATAATCTTTTTTACCTGATATTGTTTGTGAGTATATATTGTTATGCTACTCTCATGTTTCATATGACGAGCTCTTCAAATAGCATTCACACTAACATCAAAGTAGTTAGAAGCATAGTCTCTAGTCCAAGATTCAGGAGTTCAAGTGAGAATTTTTAATTTATTTTTGTAGTCAGAAGCATGTATTTGTTCTTTCATCGATAATGTCAATTTATCCAGATGCTTTATTTTGCTCTGTTTTTGAAGATGTAGTAGTATTATCTATAAAATGTGAACTACTTATTTCATAAAGGGCTGCTACATCTTTACCAATTTTTTTTATTGATTTTTTGTATTTCATAAGCATTACAACAATTGCCATTTTTTTTTTTCAAATATTTTTCCAAAGTAGTGAAAATGGTGATTACAAATGCTGAATAGTTCTTCACATGAAGGCAACTCAGATCTCCATAAAATGTTTTAACGAGTATCAGTGTCTAGGTCAAGTAGTAAAAAAATCTCTTTACTTCTAGAATATGAAGTATATTTATGGTATTCTGACTTCAAAACTTTATCACATGAATAATATCACATGAATTCATTTTGATACCGAATTAATAAATTTTATACTTGCAAATTTTAAAATGCACAAGTATAAATTACATAAGTTATGTAGGATTAATTGTCACATTTAAATTATATGAATGTCTGAATTTAGCAATTAAACTTTGATGATTGGAAAAGACAAGGAAACAAAAAGGAAATAAAAACATACATTAAAAAACAATCATAACTTAAGAACCATTTATATTTAGATAGGAATTCTAATTTTTTCTAAAGTACTATGGCGAAAATTTAAAAATAAATCAGAGAATTACGGTTGCCTGGTTGTTTAGGCATAGAAGTGCTTTTAGGTAAAGAAATAAATACTACACGTTTAATTTAGGGCCCAATCCACAATTTTTTGGTGTTAGCGTTAAATAATTTCCAGGAAAGTTTAATACTCCAAACGTTTTAATGTTTATACTTGTGTCATTTAAGGATTTTTTGCAAAAAATTGCGCTGCAAAGAGCCTGGGAACAAAATTGCCCTAAAAACTAGAAATCACCTGCCCAAGCGTGGGGCAAATCAATTTTTTGAAAAATAAGTTCTAATATCCTAAACTAGATAGAAATTTCTGTAAGGTAACAAAGTTTCAAGAAATAATGATTTCTTTAGAAGTTATTCCTAATTAAAATTTACAACCCTCTGGTTTTGAGAGGGTTGTAAAGTTTAAATGGTTATAACTTTTGAATACCAGATGATTTTTTGACTAGATTTTAAATATATGTACATTTTTCAGTCTTAGTAAAGAAAATAAATTTTTTATTTGGAAAATTTAATTCCCCTCACGTTTGGGTTGATGATTCCTACTTATAAGGGTATTTTTGTTCCCAGGCTTTTTTCGGCACAATTTTTTTGCCAAACATCCTTAAAAGACATAAGTATGAACACTCAAAGGTTTGGAGTATAGAACTTACCTGGAAGTTATTTAACTGGAACACCAAAAAATCGTGGATCCATCCCTGCCAATTATATATACATTTTTAGTACAAAAGTAAAATATTTACATAACTATGCATATAGCAGAAATAATTTTTTTACATAATGTTCTTCAAACATATAATGATCTAATTTTAAAATTTAACGCACACCCCAAATTTTTACTTGGGCAGGTGTCCATTATTCTAACATTTATAATTGATATTTAGGTACTTTTTAATTATAAA